CTTCCCTCTGGAATACAAGGCAGAGATTTTGACCCAGTGCCTTATACCTGGATCTTTTTTCAAGAACATGCAGTTCACAGCTGCTCTACCCTTCCTACTGCACAAAACCATTCGTTCACATAGTGCAGGTGGCACTGTAACTTCAGACGCAGCAACTTGCTCATCTCAGTAGGTTTTCAGCCTCATGCAAAATGATACCGAAATATTTTGTTTCCGCGGAAAAATTAAAGGCACGCTCCCCTTCCATAGATGGGGAAACACTAGAAGGTGGCCGTGACTGGGGCTACATCTAGACTGCTGCTTTTTTTTTTTTTTTTGGAAAAAAGTACGCAAATTGCACTCCGCATTCTGTATACTTTTTTCCAATTGTTCTTTCAGAAGAGGCTTTTCCAAAATTTGGCCTGTCTAGACAGGGCCAAATTTCAGAAAAACCTCCTCTTTCAGAAGAGCCCTTCTTCCTCATAAAGGCTGTCTCTCGACTACATCTCTCTTTCGACAGAGGGATGTAAATTAGACACTTCGAAATTGCAAATGAAGCAGGGATTTAAATATCCCGTGCTTCATTTGCATAATTGCATCATGGAGCTCTTTCGAAAAAGTGCCATTTCAAAAGTAAAACTCTGGTCTAGAGGTACACAGGCTCTTTCAAAAAAGCCTGCCATTTTTGAAAGAACCGCGTCTAGACTGCAGTTATACGTTCAAAATGGCGCTTTTTCAAAAGAGCGCCATGGTTATACGTTCAAAATGACGCTTTTTCAAAAGAGCGCCATGATGCGATTATGCAAATGAAGCACAGGATATTTAAATCCCCGCTTCATTTGCAATTTCGAAGTGTCTAATTTACATCCCTCTGTCGAAAGAGGGATGTAGTCTAGAGACAGCCAAAATGAGGAATACAGGGCTTCCGAAAGAACGTCTGCTCTTCTGTAAAAAATGTCGGAAGGGCAGAAGGGCTCCCTGCAGAGCCCAGAAAAACTCCATAGTCTAGACACAGCCTAGCTTACATCAGTATAGAATAACATTGCATATTCCCTCCCAGGCTGCATACACTTCAAGCACATTCAGAGAAGCAGCTGAGCATTTTTTACTCTTCCAAGGCCAATTATCTGTCCCAGGCTGACTTTTCAAACACAATGCAGACGTGGAGTCAATTTGCAGGAGGACAAGTTAGGATTAATTTAGAAAACATTTGACATTCATCTGTATGTGGCCCTTTACGGATCCCATGATGACAAGTTTCCACACGGCAGGGAAACATTTGACATTCATTTGTATGTGGCCCTTTACAGATCCCATGATGACAAGTTTCCACACGGCAGCTGATAAACATTTTGTTCATTAAGAAACAGTGCATCACGCTGTCTTTTCAAACATGTATCCTTCCCCCAAACATCTGGCCCACTGATCATTATGTTTTCAAGCAAAGGGCTTTGTTTGCTATTCGTTGACTTCTGCAGTTTGCATTCATTGTGTAAACTTGGCTAGCTATTTGTGACATGTTCCCTTTCATTTAATACTATGCCCAAGAAAACCTGAGACATTGTGCAATGGCACACAGCACGGTTACATTTCAATTGATTGTTACACCTCTTTGTACATGTCTCTTGAATCTTTCCTTCCAACAAGATACACTCCTTTGCACAAAGAAATCCAGAAAACAGTACACACTGACACAAAACGGTAGCAGACAAAACAGAGACCTTAGAGCCTAATTCACTCTCAAATGGCTATCAGCTAGAATCTAGGTAATTATCATGCTCTTTGGAGATGCCACTAGCAGGTGTTATGCAAGGGAGCAGGTAGGTATTTAAAACCAATGGGAGATGAGTTTGTATTTGCTGGATCTGTTCCATCTCACCACCATCCCCTTATGAAAGCCTTACCTTTATCTTCCGCTACTATAGTGCCCTCCACTCCCCCAGTCCTCTTTGACATTCCAAAATGATCTATTAGATTTAGATGAAGCAGCAGCAGGGGAAAGGGACATAAATCAGGAGCTCAGACTGTGGCTAGGGAGTACCCCAAAGGTTTCCTAGACCAAAACAACATCAGAACCATAGCAAAGCAGCTTGGGAGCATGAGGCACTCCAGGAAAACTGCTTCAACTTCTGGGGTCTTATGTTGTTTAAAGGAGAAAGCAGGGTGAAAGCAAGGGGCTTGCTTAGTGATTGAAAGGTAATAGCCACTAGGTTCAAAGCATTGCAGTAGATTAGACTGCTAAGTAACAAATCAGTTACGCATGATGGGTGCTGTGTCCCCCTTACATTACTGTCCCACGTCAAGGCTTACAGCCAGCTACTGCTGGTAGCTGAGAGATTTATTCCTTTAGCTCAAGTAGTAGTAACGTGTGCTTTGAAGATGGAAATCAAAAGTTCAATTCCTACTACTGACCCTGTTGAAAGTCACTATTACTCGCTGTTCCTAATATAATTCACAAGGTAGGAATTCCTGGGGGAACTGTGTATTTTCACTATGCATAATCGCAGAATTCCCCCAGAACTATCAAGAGGTTTTTCCCTCCTGTGCCATTAGCTCCTATTATATATTGGATGCACTTGCTAAAACAACATCCTTTGCTGCAGATAAAACACCCAGCTCCCAAGTCCAACACATGAATAAAGTCTGAGCATGTTAATAACTTGCCCTAGTTAAACTCGGCTTCTTCTTAGGTAAAGCACTACGCTGCAGATCGTTCACTAGAGTGAGTGCAAACGAGTGGCACAAAAATGCAGGATCAGGCCATGGGCAAGCTGTCCCCAGTTCTGAATTTGAGTCCCAATCAACAATTCTATCCTGTTCCAAAACGAAGCCTAACAGAGAGACAGAGTTTTGTTTACTAGGGCATCATGAGCAAGGCCTTCCTAGCAGATGTTTGAAATAAAATGAGGACTCTTTTTAGCTCATGAGACATCTACAAAGCAGATGCAATTACCCGTGTAAAGCAGGTGTGTGAACCACCAAGACAAATGCTGTGAGCAGCTGTCTAGGACAAAGTTCCCAAGGGCTAATCCCTCCACAGGCAACAAAGAACGTAGAGAGAAGACTATAGAACTGCTGATACATACTGAGAAGCACAGCCTCTGTTTCAGTTGTTCTGGTGACATGTAAAACTCTCCCATGGGGGAGTATCAATTTTCACACATAGTAATTGAAATGAGCTTTGCCAAAGGAGGGGGAGCAGCACCTTGTGTGAAGGCAGGAGCTGTGTTGCCCTATGGACAACTATGGAGTTAGTTGCTGAGAAACTGTTTGTCTCTAGTAGCATTAGAGTGCCCACTTAGCAGTTATTTTTCCTTTATGTTTATTTTACACCCCCAAAACCAAGCGAAGGTGCTAGCCCTCAGTGAGGAGACTGGCCAGGCCAAGTTTCTATTGATCTGTTTAAAAACAGCCTTTCCTAAAATCAATTTCCTTCATTCTCCCCTACCTCAGAAAGGAACTGGTAGAATTTTCCTTAAACTTTCCAAATCCAATTCAGAGCACAGAGTGAGTATAGAAAGTACCAGCCTAGAGGGGAATGTGCTTCTGAAAGTACCGAGAAAATAGTGGGTTGTAATAGATTTTACTGCTTGATATCAGTCTTAACTACCGTCCTGTATGGAGAATGGCACTTCATCCTTTGACAAATGTTTTCTGTCCAACTAACTAATAAATCACTGGAACAGTAAGGGAAACATGCTACCTACAGCCACATCAAAAAGCAATCCACTGAGTGTAAAGAATGAAGAGAAGAGAGAAAAGGAGTAGAGGGAAGAAAAGGAAGAAGGAAAGCAAAAAGGAACAGGGTAAAAATGAGAGGCGTGGAGAGACAAGACAGGGGCACTGAAAGGGAAGAGAAGACACTGTGGAGTATGACAAAGAGATACCAAACCCATTGGTTTCAGGGTTTCTCACCCCCAGTTCTCATATCACTGAGAGCTGATGCTCTATGCTGTGGATACATTAATCATTATTCATGGCCGCTAGCAGATATTTTTAAAAACCCAGCACTCAGAAATGTATGCCTGCAAAGCATCCCAGAAATTAATGAGGGAGACAGCTCCATGCATTTTTATTAATGAAGTTTGACTCCTGTAAGTGACCTTGAATTTACACTACAATGAAGGTGCCCAGCACAAGTGAGCAAGATAAATATTTTGCTTTGCAGCAAATTCTGAGGTTTGCACATTTGTTCCACATTGGAATGACAAGCAAACCTCTGAAGAAAAAAAAAGATTTGTGCTGGAACATCCAGCTTCACACTGAAACTGGAGCTTCCCTGCTTAGGATAAGGGGTGAGGGGCTCAGACACTATCCTAAGGTACAGGAAAAAATCCTTCATCTGCAGAGTTTTTCAGATCATTACCACTCTGGTGGTGCTTGGACTTGAACCTTATTCTCTCTGGTCCATGCTCTAATTGCCAGACCATAAAGCGTGAAAGAGTCTGTCTCAGTCTCCTTTCTTAAAACATCAGCCAAACCGAAACACCTCCTCAAAAGGCGCCAGCTTTGGCAAAACAAGATTTCTCCACCAGGCTTCCCCTGTGCTCACCTGAGGGCTCCTAGTTCCCCAGCCTGTCTCCCTGACACATCCCGCCCTGCAGATGCCATTTCAGCAGACACACACAAGCTGTTATAGTTGTGCTGACAGATGAAAGAGGGGTGTGCACATTATGTAAAAACAAGAATTGCCTTGACAAATAGGGTGGGAAACTGTGTCCAAGTTTCAGTCCAGGACCCTGAGGGGCTAATCCTGGTTACTTATCCCCCAGAAAACCAGGAGTGACTCCAATGAAGTGTCAAAACTGCGTGCCTTGGAACGGAGGCAAATCATGAGTCTCTCTCCCTTCAGCACCCTAACGGGCCTTGATGGCAACTGAAATCTCTATGCAATCCCCATCGCTTCTGAAACTTGTTTTGCAGCCAGCGGGTGTATTAACTATTAGTCATTATTTTGATCACAGACACTGAGTATTGCATACAAATATAAGGTCTATATATGAAAGGAAGGAGAATGTTACCTTCTTTGGGAGCATTCTTGTCCCACACAGACCACATCTGCACGAAGAAAAATGGAGTCCAGCACACTATGAAAGCTAAGACTATGATGAAGGTCATTTTCACTGTCCGGATCTTGGCTTTAGAAATTAGCTTGATGCTGCTCACCCTGGAAAGGGCAGCCCCGCTGCAGGGCAGGCTCGTGTTGCTCTCATGGGCTGTTTTGAGCCTCACGTTCTGCCAGATTTTGAAGCTGATCAAGCCATAACAGATGCTGAGCATCAGCACGGGGATGATGTAAACAGTCAGGGTGATCCAGGTGATATAAGCTTTGGCTCCCCACGGCTGGATGAAATCGGCCCAGCAGTCATACACCCCGTTGCCCACGTCCCGCAGGGAAAAGATGTGGATCTGGGGGATGCTGACCAGCAGGCACAGCAGCCAGGTGAGGAGGACAGACACCCGGTCAGACCTCCTGTGCAATGACCTCAGGGGCTGACAGATGGCCAGGCACCGGTCCAGGGACATCAGCAGGAGCATGTATGTAGAAGCAAACATCCCCACCACCTGCAGGTACTTGACCAACCGGCAGAGGAAGTCCGGCCCATAGAACCTGAAGGTGATGTCCCAGATGAGTTGGGGCAGCACCTGGAAAATGGCCACCACCAAGTCAGCGATGCTCAGGTGCTTCATGAAATAGTACATGCGGGAGTGCTTGTGCCGCGTGGTGTGGATGGCCAGCAGCACGCACAGGTTGCCCGTCAGAGCAAGGAAGAGGATGAAGCAGAGCACCGTTACCTCTACCTTGGCCATGTCCTCGTTCCGCTTCAGGGGGTCAGTGGTGCTATTGACCCCGTACGTCCGATTCTCCAGGCTCAGGCTGGAGTTGATCAGTGAGCCATTGACAGTCCACAGGTTGTTCCCCTCCGGGGACAACTTCTCCATAGCCAGCCCTTTCCCATGCAGCACTTTACTCCAGCAAGGGCAGCACTTGGCTCCAGCAAGGGTTTTGGGAGGGGGTGGGGTCTCCTGGGCTGTGGCTCCCCTTTACAGTCCCCCCTCACAGGAGACCATGGTTTTCAGTGCTTCTCCCCTGCCTATGGAACTCTTTTCCGTCCTAATTCTTTTCACTTCTCTTCACAGGTGTTGGTTCCTTTCACTCCCTGTTGGGTTCACTCGCTTTCAGCAGTGGTGACCGCTGGCCTGAGGGCTTGTCCTCTCTCCCTGGAGAATGAGCCAAGGAGAGCCAATGTCAGTCCTCCTGAAGCAGAGATGGTCCTAGCCTCCAAATCCACCCTGGCCCCTCCAACAGCACTTGGTATATCCTCCTTAAGCTCCTGCTTCCAAATAGAAACACAGCAAGGGAGGGAGCATTACAGCAAACCAATATCACTGCCCCATCTCACACCTCATCCCCTTCAGATTCACTGCAAGGCCTTCCCAGAACTTTGTCCCCTTCTCCCCCCACTACACACACACTGATCCCTATATTCTAAGAACCTGTTAATCATCCTCCCCCCTTCACTTTATAACAATCACCAGTCACGAGGGTAGGACATTGCATCATCGGATTTCCCTCTCCCACTTGCAGTGAGGGTTTTTTTCCCATCTGCATGTGAAATAGCCACCAGCAGCTCAGGAGATATGGATGGATCAAAAATCCTGCTACCGTAACAGAGTACAATGAAAAGGTGCTTACTTACCTTCCACAGCTCCCTCCATCTGTAACTCCCAGCTTCCTCCTTGAAGTTGCTTTTTTCTGCTTCAAACACCCAACCAAGGAGTTGCTTTCCCAGAAGAGTTCATGTGAGACCCCCCCTCCCACGGTGAGTGTGTCCAGCTGCTCCACAACTTTGCTCTCAAATGAATCCAGGAGGAGAGAAAGCAGGGACGCGGGGGAGGAGGAAAGGAGGCTGGAGTAAGCCCTTCAGGAGTCACTCATCATGGATAAAATATGCTGCTACTGTGGAGGTATCATATACTGTACAATTTTTGCATTCATAGTTCTATCCCCTAGGTGGCGAGAGAGGCCACTACTTCACCAGCTCCTCTAAATTACAGCTTAAAGAACTGGGAACTGATGTCAGTGACACTGGTGTAAACCGGGAGTGGGTGTCAGTCTGTATTTACAATGGGGGTAACAAAGGCATTAAAGTAAACATTAACATTTCCCTCTTTTGTTCTAGTTGCACTGCCTTGAGCTACATATTAATCTGTTATTAAAATAAGTGTATTTCCTCTGCTCCCCGGTTCCCCCGGGGCATATTGCATTGCTTAGTACAAGACAGAGCACATCAGAATGCATCATACTTGAGCATGCAGTCTTGCACAGACATGGGTAAAACAGTTTTAAGTAAATGATCAACTAAACTAATGCATTCCATTGGCAGTGACATATTCCCTGGTCTGCAGAGCTCTGGACTAAGTGATTCTCACAGCAACCCTCCCTGTGACATAAGTAAATCAGGTTCTCCTCCTTTTACATATGTATACACATATAAATAACATCCAGGGAATGGAGTTCCATCCCACACCACCACCACCACCAAATAACACTACAGATTACACACATAGTCAGTTGCAGTGCGTGACTATTTATTTATGTGCTTTAAACCATTTGTTTCAAATGAAACCTTGAATGGGGTTGTTGCTTTTCTCTCCTTTCTGTCTCTGGCTATCTTTGGTAACTAGGCATCAGAATTGCTCCCAGGCCCTGGATGGCTGGGAACAGTGAAAGGCATATGGGGAAACTGGAATTGAAGATGACATATTGGGGATTTGTTTTTGTTTTTGTTTTTTGAAGTAAAAAATTGGGGAGGGGGCTGAAATCTTCAGAAATGACCCATCTGTTACAACAAGCTGCAGGAGCTGCAGATTAATTATTCTCTTCTGTGTTGATAATCAGACAATATAAACACATGTCAAACCCTAATGAAAAATGCATTTCATAACAACTCTGTTTACTGAATATGGGGATAGAGGGCACGCTACCGCGCTGGGGGATTTATAGTTGGGTTAGAAGCAGATTGCAGTTAGAAGCAACTCCCAGAAGGCTGTTTCTGGGTCTCTTTCATTTACTCTGCTCTACAACCACAAGAGGTAGCACAAAGTTTAAGCATGAAGCTCAAGCCTAGAATACTTGACAATATATTTTTAAAAATAAAAAATGGGTTCCTTTTTTAGCAAGATTTTTAGGGTAATAATTTGCTCCTAAAAATAAGAAAGAGCACTTCCTTTTTAAATATTTGTTGGCATCATCACATCTAGCTTCTGTCTCAATGTGAATATTTTACAGAATGGAAGGGGAGGTTTTCCTCCAACAAATTAGGGACAAAGGTATTTAGAGACCCCAGTACCTTTGAAATTCACACTAGATTCTTATCTGCACCTTTAAGCACTGAAATACCTTTAAAAATCTTTCACTTAGGCCTAGATCCTCCAAGCTATGTGGGAACCTCAGTCTCTTTGATGATCTGGAGTTTATAAAAAATATTTAAGATGTTCTTTTGCTCAAAGTGAAAGTTAATGACTCTTGTTCAAAGTTTCTTGCTAAACACTTCAAGACACTAATTTATTTTAGCTTCTTCTACAGCCTTTTCATTCCAATACTGAATATCATTCCATGAGATTGCTTTTTCCAGATTAAAAACATAGCAAATTCAACTTGGAATTTCTACATCTCTCTCAGACTTAAAGGCCCCCAAAGCAGTTGTCACTTCATAAGATTACAAGACAATGTTTATTCCAGGTGTGTGCTAAATGACACGTTTTCCCCTCATGTTCTTCCTCTTTACGCCATAATCTCCCTGGCATCATTGCCATCCATGAGTGTCGTGAGGACCCCACACAATGCTTTTTTTACTGTTCTTTCTTTTTAAGGAGAGTTTTGTGAGAGGGAAGTGACCTTGGATGAAATCTTGAAGTCAATGAATCCTTTGCCATTGACTTCAGTGGGGCCAGGATTTCATCACTTGTGTTTTACTGCTGGCGGCCATTGGCCAATCAGGGGATGTGGGTCATTCCAGAACTTACCTAACATTCCTTTGGGCATTCTGTCACATGTAGCTAACATCTGTATTTTATAGGGATGTGTCTACCTGGAAGAGCTTAACTCGAAATATGCTATGCAAATTGAGCTACATCAAGCATGTATCTTATTTCAAAATAGAGCACTCTTCCTCCAACTTCCCTTATTCCTCATACAATGAGGGTTCCAGGAGCTGGAATAAGAAGTCCTCCAGCTTGACAGTATTTTGACACTATTTCAAAATAACTGCCTGCTGTGTAGATGCAGACTAAGTTATTTCAGAATAGCGCTAGTTATTTCAAAATAGTGTTGCAGTGTAGATATACCCTTAGTGCAGTAATCTGGCTTCCTTTGTATAGTAAGGTAAGAGTTTATTAATGACAAAATCACATAGACACACTTTGATTAGAAGTTTTTAAGGACAGGTTAGACAAACACGTCAGATACCGTCCAGTTATTATGTAATCCTTCCTCGTGTGCAGGGGGCTGGACTAAATGAACTAGTGAGGTCCCTTCCAGAACTACACTTCTATGATTCTATTATATTGATTTCATTTAGAACATTAACCAGGATTTATCTGTCAATGTGTTTTACTCTAACTGTGTTTCTTAACAGGAACTTAACCACCTTGAAAAGCCACGTACCACTTCCCAAGCATTGTATTTGAATAAAGGACACGAGAGGTGTAAGTAATCTTTGGACTTCATTCAGTTTATCCCATTGCAAAGGCACAACCATTAGCACAGTTCATTTTCTAGTGGTCTAATTTAAAGAGCATTTTAAAAGTGCACAAGTAGTGGTCTAGTTTATTGCACCACCTTTTGATGATTAAGGTGATGTGATTGCATTCTTCCTAGGCTTGCAGTCTGGGAGGTAAAACACTTAGCAGAATGAGTTTTCATCGTCTCCTTTTTGGAAAGCGGTTTCTGATCAGATTTACTTGAGCTGCTTATTTGCGATGTAGGGATATAAGGGACTTCCTGTCTTTGTCCATGGTCAGGAGTGGGAGTTAAGACATTGATAATGTAGTCAACGCATTCCAACTACAGAATGCAGTGCAAAGCCCAAGATTGATTATAGCTGCAACACACAAGTATGCAATTCATATGCAGCGCAGATTCGGGCTGGGAGCTCTGCATCCTGAATAGTTAGGAGTTTCATTCTTCATAGGCCCTCTGAGCGGTAAGTGCATTTCAGAGGTAGGTGAGTAAGCCAGGCTGCTATGAGCTAGATCAATGATGGGCAACCTAGGCTAATGAGTGATGAAGCAGCCCTCCTCATGGGTGGTTGGTGCAGCTGGGGCTGCAGGAGTTGGGCCAGGCCCACAGCCCCTCCTAGAGCCCCACCCCCTCTGACAGGGTCCTGCCCCCCAGAAGGAGGGGAAGAGACCATGTGGCTCCAGCCCCTGGAGCACAGAGAGGGCAGGTACTGGGAGGCAGCAACACTCCACCCCCAGAAAGCCTACAGCAGGCATTCTAGGGGTAGAATTTGGGTGGGGCCATGCCAGACAGTTTGGGAAGACGAAGCCCCCACTGAGGCTGCCGGATGCCCATGGCCCTCAGGACTCACCTCACTTCATATGCCCTTGCTTATATGCTTGTCACTTGAGTAACACAGGTAGGCTGTGTCTACACTGCACCCCTTTTCCGGAAAAGGGATGCAGATTAGACACTTTGGAATAGGCAAATCCACAGGGCATTTAAATATCCCCCACGGCATTTGCATTAACATGGCTGCCGCTTTTTTCCGGCTTGGGGATAAGCCGGAGAAAAGCGCCAGTCTAGATGTGATTCTCTGGAAAATAAACCCTTTTCCGGAGGATCTCTTATTCCTCTTGAAAGTAGGAATCTGCCACAGATTATTTTTACCTGCAACCAGACTGTGACTGAGGTTGCTCTTGGGACAGTGTGATAACAGCATAATCCAACACACAGGGCTGATGGCAATGCCACACGCTAGCTCTACATACAGTAGGTGCCCAGATTCTCTGGTGATGAGGCCCATGAAAGTGAAATAAATCAATATATAGATACACAGAACTGGAGTCCAATGCTGGCTACACCCTATAATAATGAACTCAGGCCTTGTCTATTCTTGCCTAGAAGGTCAAATTAAGATAAGCAACACCAACTCTGTTAATTGCGTAGCTGGAGTCAACATACCTTAATTCAATCTTCGGCACCGTCTCCACAGCAGGAGGTTGATGGCAGCAAATGCTCCTGTCAATTTCCCTTACTCATTGTGAATCAAGGAGTACTGGTGTCAATGGGGGGCCTTCTCAGCATTCGATTTATCAGGTCTCTAGTAAACCAGCTAAATCATACTCCAGAAGATCGACCGCCACAGCATCGATCTTCCTGGTAGTGAAGACATGGCATTAGTAGAGACTCTCATGATTTATACCAACGTGTCTGAGCTTAGAATCTCTTCCCACAAATGAGCATTGGGATCCTTCAGGACATGGAAACATCTGCAGCTGTAATTAATGGAGAGAATAGCTCAAAGAAAAAACTGTGTTTAAAAGTCATTAAGTGACTGAATGACCGATGTTGCCTACAGGCCAATAAAAGATAATGCGCTAATCACAGAGGTAATGGGCTGAGGCCTCCCTAGTACAAAAGCGAAGAGCACTTATATAAAGCAAAACTGCGATCATCTGATGGGCTGGAATGAGACAAGAACAACCAGGAAGCTGCATCAAGGGCACCAGATAGCGAGCAGATGCAAAGAATATGTTAACATGGATTCCACAGAAAGGAAATGTGAATACAACAAATAACAAGCCAACGTCACCTCTAGCTGACAGGGGAGAGGAAGAAACTGCTTCAACAGCCATAATTATCCGCTCAGGGGTTTTTTATGTCTTACTCTAAGGCACCTGGTACTGGTCACAGC